GCACAGCTGTGCAAGAGAATAAAGAGTTCCGCGGTCCAGGGGAGCTGCCCTGGGACCCTGGAGAGCTCCCCTGGGGAGCCCTGGGGGGGGATGCTGCTCTAGGGGCGGGAGGCCCTGGGGAGCGCTGCCCTGGGGAACTGCGGGGGGGGAGGGTGGAGGGGGACGACCACGAACGAACGAAAATAAAGGGTTCCGCGGTCCAGGAGAGCTGCCCTGGGAAACCCTGGAGAGCTGCCCTGGGCGGGGGGCTCTGGGAAGCCCTGGGGTGCAGCCCTGGGGAGCTAGCTGCCCTGGGAAGCCCGGGGGGGCTGCCCTGCGCTGCCCGGGGGGGCGGAGGGGAGCCTGGGGAGCCCTGGGGAGGGGAGGGGGGAGGGGGACGACCACGAACGAACGAAAATAAAGAGTTCCGCGGTCCAGGGGAGCTGCCCTGGGAAACCCTGGAGAGCTGCCCTGGGGAGGCCTGGGGGGGGGGATGCTGCTCTAGGGGCGGGGGGCCCTGGGGAGCGCTGCCCTGGGGAGACGACCACGAACGAACGAGAATAAAGGGTTCCGCGGTCCAGGGGAGCTGCCTAGCTGCCCTGCGGAAACACTTGGGGGGGGGGCTAGCTGCCCTGCGGAAACACTTGGGGGGGGAGCGGCGGGGGGGGGGGGACGACCACGAACGAACGAAAACGAAGATGGCGGCGGGGGGGGGGGGAGGGGGACGACCACAAACAAGTGGTCCGGGGAAAGCCGGGGCCAGGTCCAGGAGGGGAGGCTGGATCCTGGACAAGGACCAAGGGGGCTTGGACGTCCAGAAGTCTGAGTTGGGGCGAGGGGTCCGCCCAGGAGAGGGGGGCCAGAGCCAGGGGACTACGACGAACCACGAACTAAAACAAAGGGTCCAGGGCAAGGGAGGCTGGGGTCAAGGCCAGAGGCCAGAGGTCCGGGTTGGGGGGGGCAGAGCCAGGGGGACGACGACAAACCACAAACGAAAATAAAGGGTCTGGGGCGAGGGGGGCTGGGCCCAGGGCCAGGGGGAGGCTTTGTCCAGGGCCAGGGCCAGGGGGCTGGAACTCGGACCAGGGGTCAGGGGTCTGGACTGGGGCGAGGGGCCCAGGGGAAGGGCCAGGGGGGGAGGCTGGGTCCAGGGCCAGTGCGAGCGGGGCGAAGGGGGGGCGAGGCCAGGACCAGGGGGGGAGGGTGGGCCCAGGGCCAGGACCAGGGGGCGGCGACGACCGAAAAATAAAGGGTGCGGGGCGAGGGGGGTCGGGTCCAGGGCCAGGGCCACCGGGGCGAGGAGGGGCGAGGCCACAACCTGCGGGGGAGGGTGGGCCCAGGACCAGGACTAGGCGGACGGCGACGAACGAATATTCAAGGGTGCGGGGCGAGGGGGGCTGGGGCCAGGGCCAGAGGGGGAGGCTGGGTCCAGGGCCAAGGCCAGCGGGGCGAGGGGGGTTGGGGCGGGAGCGAGGGGGGCTGGGGCAAGACGACGACAAACGAAAAATAAAAGGTCCGGGGCCAAGGGGGCTGGGGCCACGGCCAGGGGGGAGGCTGGGTTCAGGGTCAGGGCCAGCGGGGCGAGAGGGACTGGGGCCAGGACCACGGCGGGAGGATGGGTCCAGGGCCAGGACCACCGGGACGACGACGAACGAAAATAAAGGATCCAGGGCCCGGAGGGCTGGGGCCAGGGCCACGGCATGAGGCTGGGCACTGGGCCAGGACCAGAGGGACGACGAGGAACGAAAATAAGGGATCCAGCTGGGCCAGGGCCAGGGGACGAAAAGGACGACGACGACGGCGAGGGGGGCTGCGGCCAGGACCTGCGGGGGAGGCCGGGCCCAGGGCCAGGAGCAGAGGGACGACGACGAGCGAAAACAAAGAGGCCAGGGCGAGGGGGTCTGGGGCCAGGGCCAGGGGAGGAGGCTGGGACCAGGGCCAGGGCCAGCGAGTCGAGGGGGGCCGGGTCTAGGACCAGGGGGGGATGGGTCCAGGGCCAAGACCAGGGGGACGACGACGGAAGAAAATAATGAGGTCCGAGCTCTAGAACACAACTGCGCAAGAGAATTAAACTGTCGATGCGGGGGGTGCGCGGTGACGCTGGTGGGCGAAGGGGGCAAGGGCGGGCGCTGGGGGCGCGGAGGATGGGGGCGCGGCGCCAGCGCCTGGCGTGCCGAAATCAAACGATCGGGGCGAAGACGGCGTGCGCGCGTGCTGGGAAACGGCGGAGGGCGCTGTGCGCGCCGAAAGAAAATGCTCGGGGCGGGGGGGGGCGCCAGCTAGGCGGGCGAGGAAGAGCGGGAGCGGTTGCTGGGGGGGGCGCGGCGCCAGTGCCACACGTGCAAAAAAAAAAAATGGTCGGGGCGGAGTGCGCGTGCGGACTACTGGGCGAAGGGATGGTGGGCTGGCCGCGACAAGGAGAGGGGGACCTGGCGCGGCGCTGGCCCCATGCGCGCTGGAAGAAAATGGTCGGGGCGGAGGGAACGTGCTGGCTGGCGGGCGAAGAGGAACTGGGGCGGCCCCTGGGGGGGAGAGGGGGGAGGGGCGCCGGCGCCGCGAAGGCAGGAACATCTCGGTCGGGGCAGAAGAGGCGCGCTGGCTGGCGGGCGGGGGAGGAGGGGGGCGGAGCGGAATGGGCGCGCGCGGCTGCTGGGGATTGAGAAGGGGGCGCGGCGCTGGCGCCGTGCGTGCCAAGATCAAACCGTCGAAACGGAGGGGGCGCACTGGCTGGCGGGCGAGGAGGCAACGGGGCGGCAGCTGAAGGGGGGAGGGGGGGCGCGGCGCCGCTGCCCGCGCCTCCCGAAATAAAAGGGCCCTGGCGGAGGGCGCGCTGGCTTGTGGGCGAGGAGGCGAACTGGGGCTGGCCGCTGGCTGAGCTGAGCTGATTGGGGTGAGCGGGCGAAGGTGCGCCGTGCGTGCCGAAATGAAACGGTCCGGGCGGAGAGAGGGGGCGCTGGCTGGTCGGCGAGGAAGAGCTGGGGCTAGTTGCTGGCTGAAGAGAAGCTGAGCTGGCCGGGGGTGGGCGAGAAAGGGGGGGCGCGGTGCCGGCGCCGCACGTGTCGAAATAAACCGGTCGCAACCCTAGACACCCGGCGCAAGAGAAGGAAATTCGACTCGGGGGGTGGGTCAGGCCAGCGGGAGCGCCGCAGGCGGAAGCCCGTGTAGAGTCTGTTGGGGAGGCGGACCGCGCGGGGTCGGGCGCAGCAGCCCTCATGTGTCGTTCGGGCGCGTCGGGGCCGAGGCGCGGCGTCAGGAAGGGCGCTTCCGAGCCTGAGCACGCTCGGAGAGGTTGTCCCTCGGCTGCGCGTAAGAGTGAGAGCGACCCTGGGTAACAGCGACCTTTGGTGCGCGGCTTCTTGGGGGCCGCAGGGGGGGGGGAGGCAAACACGAGCGCGCAAGACGCCACTGCCGCCTCGCGTTCGGCGATCGGGGACCCCAATGGGCCCGCACCAAAGGTCACTCCGGCGAAGGGTCACTCTTACGTGTAGTCGATTCCCCCAACGCCGATTGATTCACTGCGCGTTGGGAATGTCCACGCCCGGTCCGCCCGTCATTCTGCAGCGCAGTCGTGCTGCACGTGGACCACAGTGTATCTTCATTACACCGCAAGGCTATCACTTCGGTTTTTACGCCCGTCCACCACGAACTGTGTCGATCATCAATTCAGCGTCAAAGAAAACGCGCCACATCACAATGCAACATGCAAGTTCGAATCACCACCACAAGTTGCGAGAACATCTCAAGCGAAACTGGGCCCAGACCAAACCAAACCAACGCCAAACCAGGCAAACGCTGCGGACGTCTTAAGCGAAAACGGGCCCAAAAACCAAGCCAAACCATGGGCCAAACTAAGCAGATGTTGAAGACGTCTCAGGCAAAGCGCGCGGCCAAACCAGGCCAAACCAGAGCCACCAACCCAGACAGATTCTGAGGATGTCCTAAGCAGAATCGCCGAGCGCGACCTACCGCCGCTCGGTTGGAAAAGCCCCCCCCCGTCCCCCAGGAAGCCGAGGCGGAGGCGGGGGCGCCCCCCCTGCCTGGAAACTGGAAGTGGTGGGGCACAAAGGCTCCCCGCCCCCTCTCGGCTCGAACTGCGGGGAAAGGGGGGGGGAACCCTGCCCAGAAACCCGGCGGGCGGGGGGGGGGGGCACAGGCTCCCCCCCCCTCTGGCTCGAACCAGAAAGGGCGGTGAGCGATCCCCTCCCCGCCCGATATTCGAACCGACTTTGAGCTTCGTTAGAGCTTCGTTTGAGCTTTATTCGCCTGCAAGGCCCAATAGTCCAGACGGGCCCGAAACGCCTGCGGTAAAACCCGCCCCCCGGGGCAGATTGCGGTTGCATGACCGACCCACCGATAGACGACTGACAGCCGCGCCCCCAGGACCCTCAAACCGTCGACGGAGACCAAGCCAGCCCGGTTGAGCTCCCCAATGGATTCCTGACCCCCCGAAGAGAGCCCCCAGGAAAACAGCAAGGGGTCGGAGGATCTGGCGCCAGCCTCAAGAATAATGAGGATCCACGATGAAGATGCAAGGCCCTTGGAAGACCACGCCAATACTTTTTGGGAGCGGGGCGCGGCAATCGCAGAAGGCCATGGATGGGCCGAGGGGGAAAGATGCAAAAGCAACCTTGGAAAGTCGTTCATTCTTGCTATCCGTGCCGACTGCATTGGGGAAGCAAAAGGTACCCATACCGCTACTCCCCGGACCTCTCCCGGGGAACGCTCTGACCAGAATTCCGAGGCGAATCCAACAGTGGCGACGTGGGCCTCCCAAGCGGCCCGAAAGAATGATAACGCGGCGAGTGGTAGCGGTATTGGTACCTCTTCCTCCTCTTGATGGGCCTGTTTTCCATCACCACCACCAGAAGTTGGAGGGGGAGGAGGAGGAGGAGGAGGAGGAGGAGGAGGAGGAGGAGGAGGAGGAGGAGGAGGACCCCCTCCCCCTCCAACTTATGGTGGTGGTGGTGTTGATGGAAAACAGGCCCATCACCTCTTGTGTATGTACATATCGCCCGGAGCTCCTCCATCTTCCTCTTCTCCGAGCTGCCGTCCAGGAAGCGCCGCTCCTCCTTGTCTCGCCTCCGCCGCTCCTCCGCGTGCACGCGCTCCTCCGCCCGCCAGGCCTCCGCATCGGCGGCCCGCACGGCGTAGATGTTCTCGCTCCGGATGGACTTCACGTCGACGAGGCCTCGCGAAAACCCCGGCGGGACGCACAAGGACATACAGTCAACCCGTATAGTAAGGATGCGCGATGAGGATGCAACGGCCTTGGACGCCCATTTCGAAGCTTTTAGAGCGGGCCGCGGCCAGCGAAAGCGGCCAAGGATGGGCCGACGAGGCAAGGATGCAAGGGTACCCTTGGAAAGGTTGCCCATCCTTACCGTGCGGGTTGACTGTACTATTACGATGTGAGCAGCGGACACAAACGGGCCTTACGCAAGATGGTACAGCGACCTTGCGCGGCGGCTCACGCGGGCCGCCAGCGCGGCACGCTACATCGGAGACGAGGGCGCTCACGCGCGACTTTACGCGAGCAACGTACGCGCCAATGTCGGTGCAGTCGAACCCGTTGATCTGCGTCGCTCAGAAGGGGCGCACAAGGACATGCTAGTACTATGTGTCCTCCTTGGAAGCGCGAGTCCGACCCGAACATAGAGCACAACCAGCTCGGAGCTCATCGTTTCCCGAGCGGTACGGCCAATAAGCGCCCGCCATCGAGCATGTACCCTGAGACTACTCAACTTGCGCGTTCATCGTCCTTCGCCTCATCCGTCCTTCTCCTTTTCCTGCCCTCCTCATCCTCCTCGTCCCCGTCATCACTCTCCGGACTCGTCGCCCTGCTCCTCCTCCTCATCCTCCTCTTCCTCTTCCTCCTCCTCCCCCTGCTCCTCATGATCCTCCTCGTCCTCCTCCTTCTCCTCCTCTTTAACCTCTGTGGCCTGATCCTTCTGATTATCGTGTTGATCTTTCTCCTCTAGCTCATCCAGCTGCTAAAGTCCCTCATCCCCCTCCTCCCCGTCCTCCTCTTCCTCCTCCTCACCTGCATGCATCTAGAAATACTATGTTGTCGTTATCATTCGCATTCTTCTTATTATGATGACACTAGTACCATTCTTATTAATCATCTTAGTACTTCTAATTCTGAAATTAGAAACCGTGTGTGTCTCAGAACTGGTGTATTGATAGTCTTCTTCGTAGTCGTATTACTACCAGCGCTCGTTGCGTTAGTAGTATGCATCCGTGTTAGTGGTCCTTCTGATTCGTCGTATAAGATCAATCATGTTTCGTTTGGTTGTCAGATCCGTCTTCTATTGTTCCACATTGTGGTGTATATAAAATGTGGATGTTGTGTTCTTACTGTTCGTACAGTTCCCGTCTCTATGAACATCACCCTTCTTCCTATATTACTATTACTGCTGCTAATACTACTACTACTACTACTACTACTACTACTACTACTACTACTTCTTCTACTTCTACTTTTACTCCTACT